AAAAAAATCCTCCATAGTGATTGGTTTATATTTTCCCTCAGTCAATACGTACTGCAGCCAACTATATCCAAATGTCTGAGTGAAATTGTTTCCGGAGAAAGTTGCTGGGCATTCCTTATTTTACCCTTAACTGCAGCAGATGTTATTGGCTAAGTAATGAAGAGCTTGCATGCCACCCCTAGAGCTCTGTCAAGGTTCAACTCTTCATTTTATCACAATTTAACGTCAACTCACCCTTTCTTCTTCCTGTTCTTCCCAGAACTTTTGGTCCTGCACAAGGTGTTCCTCGTACTGTTGCTTCAGTAAAGGAATTTCCTCCACTCGCATCGCTCGTGCGAGGTAATCCATCTAAACCAAGGGAAAGCACTAACTTCATTAACAACCAACGGCTACCCGAGATCAAGTTTGAGTCACTTAGCACGTTGGCGCACGACTGAAGAAATATTTAACGTTATTTTTCTACTTCACCAAGATTTCAGTTTATGCCCTTCACGACTAGAAAGGAAAAAGCCTTTCCTTTCGGATAAATTGAAAGTGGGTTGATCGAGGCTTTGTGGAGTGGGCAAGTGAACAAGGAAAGTTTTTTGATTAGCAGGGAAATCTACTGTCCTCGTCCTCCAGAAGGACATTAACGTGATATCACTTCATCTGGTGATATTAACAGGGCTTACTCGAGTCTTGGTTAACTTGAAATCTTAGAAACTTCAAAACAGCGAAAAAAAAAAAAAACTATCTGACAAACATTTCAACATACAGCACAGTAAAACTGTAATGCCTGTCTAGGGTGCATTAAGAAGTAAATTTCACCTTCTTCTCCTGAGTTTTAAGCCTTGTCTGCAACTCTCTCTTCTCTTTATCCAGCTGTTCAACTTGTCTAGCCAAGATATCATCTGCATCCATGGCTTCTATTTCCTATTGAACGAGAAAGTAACAAAGTTTTAATTCATCGCAACCTCATGTTTGATCCTTAAGCAACCAATACGAGTCAAATGGAAAGAGTATATATGAAAAAAAGAGACGGAGAGAACAAAACCTCTAGGAGGGAGATAGCTCTTTTGACACCCTTTCCGCGTTCTGAAACTACGGCACTCTTAGATTTGACAAATTATCTATCCTGAGATTTGTGTTCGAGGCACAGTAAGCCTAATAGCCTGCGAGCCAGCCATCGATTTTAGTGCTTCAGTAAATGCCATTTCTTTGCCTGCATGAAAGTACGAGGCTTTGAGCAACGATGGCCAGCAAGGTCTGCAAATAGCTCACCACTGATAATGCCAGACCCACAGCCGACCTCTCCCCTATTCATCTCAAATCTTCTGCGGACAGGGAAACGCTGAGCGCTCAGCGCCAACAATTAGGGCTTGGTCTCAGGCTTTAATCTTCAGACTAATGTTGATTCACTATCAGACTGTAATTCAACTCACGGAAACTAAAATTATCTACTATTTGATCAGTCATTTGAATTAGAAAAACAACAGCGCAAGTGTTGAAATTCTCATTTTTTCTATTCTTACCTGTTAATTTTGATGTCCATGCACATAAACAACAAGTGTACCCATTGAATGAAATTGTCATGAAAAAGAAAACAGAACAAACGTATTAGTCACTGCACAGACTGGCTGGGAAATTGACATGAACATTAAGCAAACTTGCTGTTATTCAGCCTATGGGTGGTTCAATCTTATCCTCATAACATTGGTGGGTGCTAGGACAAGTTGATGTTTGAGTTTGTCATCATTTATTACAGCAAGAATTCAGATAAAATTAAAGGCAGTGCTTAAATTCACCTGGACAAGCTTCGAATGTCTGGAAGAAATTTTGAAATGAGTCAAGTTCCCCGAGTCTACAAACTTTTTTTTTGCAATGTTTGAAACATTCCCCACTTTTTTTCTCCTCCGCCTGGCTGAGTGACAGTGATAGTAACAAAGAATGAGAGGGGAAACTGTGCTTCCACAAAACCTTTAGAGGGTTATGTATAGGGTAGGATGGGCATGTTGTATTGCCTAGGACTAGACAAACACTGGTTCAATGGTGTTGCTTTTTCTTTTTTCCCCAAGAAACTGCCAGAAAAGAAAAAAAAAAGATTTTCTGTTCCTAGATTATTCGCGTTTTTCCTCTCATAAATTGCTTCCAAAAATTGCTTCTAGCTATAACTGTAACTGTTTACTTTAACCAACCACCACACCAGGCTTCACATAAATAAAACACATATTACCTCTTCAGTCAAGTCTTTCAGAGCCTTTGCCCCAACAGTTGTTTTCTTGAGAGCGGCGATCTTGTCCATTGCTTGCTTCTTCTCAATCTCCTGAAGTTCTTGCTTTCTTCGGAGCACCTCCCGCTTCTGTCTCTCTTCATTGAGTCGCTTCTGTTCAGCTTCCAGATTCTCCTTCTGCTGTAACCTTAGCAACTTCTGTTCTTCTCGCTCCTGGTAAACAATGAAATGACCCCTCAAACTCAGCAAATATTGCACTCGGCAGTACGCTTGTCTGAATGTATAGCGGAGCAAACATCCAGTGAGCAAAACAGTACGTAGAGTAGCCTGTGCACAGGCCTTCATTACATGTATTGGCACTTCAGCACAAATATATCTTTGCTTGCGGAATCAGTAGTATGAGGCAAGTGGACCTGGGATTTGCCAAGGTTCTGACAGTGATAATGTCAGATCCCTGGCAAACCTCTTCTCGACTGGTCTTGCTGCGTTAATAATGAGTTTAAGAAACAACGACAGCGACGCCTTAAAAAATAAACTTATATTTTACCGACGAATCTCGCGATACTCTTAAGTCATTTAGTTTGTTTCTAACTGTCAATGCTATCTCGAAACCAAATATGGAGCGTTAAATTAGAGATAGAAATGCAAAAAATTAGCTCTCCTCGTTCACGTTCTCCAGACAATGGAAAGTTTGGTCATTTCACGTTGTTATTGTGCAGAGGACACAGAGAAATTTCAAAAGATTTGTAACGCACGTGCACAGCCACTGTTCTGCTCATTAAACCTTTTGTTTAGTGACATTCCCGTTGCCGTCGTGGTTTACGATAGGTTACCGTGGACCTTCGCGTGTGTCCTTCGCAAAAAAGATTTTAATGTGCTATTTGAAGCATAACCTGCACAAAATTAGATATCAATGGAAAGGTTATGAAATACGTTATTCGGAAAAAAACACTATTTCGTTTTAGATTGATCTAATCGTAAACTGAATGGGGCACAATCCGTTAAGTTAACATACCCCATTAATTCGTTCAAAGAAGGCACATTCGCTTACTAAAAACGAAGTAGGTTTTTTTTTTTTTTGCCTCCAAAGTTTTCCCAACGGTCCACGCCTTTGGGTGACCACATGTCAAGTTATGTCAACACTCTGAAAAACTCGAAATGCCGACCGCCAATAGAAACACAGAGACTCTCAGCAAAAACAATTATTTTGCAGGTAACTATCATTTACCCGTAACATACCTCTAGTTCAATTCTGCTGAACGGCAATTTTCATTCAACTATTTTTTTTTTTCAACTTAAAAGCGGCTTAAGCACGCCGCGGCAAAACAAAATGATTGCTGACCGGGTGCGAGCACCGAGGATTGACTAAACCACGAGCCTTTACCCGTTTCAGCGAGATTAGATTTTTTCGCCATTCTGCATCGAATTTCTTTACTTTTTGTACTGACAGCCGCCATGCTTGGCTTTTACTTTCCCCAATGGACTCTTCTCCTTTTTATCTTTCTCCATTCACATTCTAGTTTTAAATGCAGAGAGTTAGCAAAGACCTCCAAGTACAACCGAATTACGAGTTGAAATTCAAGGACCTGGATATTTTGCCGCAAGAAGCCCTTCGGGAGTCATTCATGTTGGCATGTTATAATTGGCTATCCACACCTTGACGGGTTAAAGAATTCGGTCGAAAATACGTTTTTTTTTAAACAATTCGTCTGCGTTTCAATATTTTATCAAGATTTTTCTCGCAAACTCTATATAAAATAATGATGCTAGTTTGACACGGAAAAAATTACAAAAAAATTTGCCTTCGAAAGGTCTACCGTCTCCTTTAAACAAGGACCCTGACTATAAAAGGACTTTTGTTCTGGGCAAGCCGTCAGTCATTTCACCCCTGACACCGAACTGTCGACATCAGCCAGTCCGTGACCGTGCGATATCGGCAAAACTATTGTAACCGAAAGGTCACTTGCAGCCAGTGCATATCTCAAACTTCTACGAATTTTGCCATTTTCGTTTACGGCAAAGAAAAGATGATCGGCTCCACTCAGTTGGCTCCACGGAATGTACACCCGCTTGCGATGTCATTTCTGTAAGGAAGGCAAACGGCCAGAGGGCTAGCGGTGAGGACTAGCTTTTATGACCTTTATTATCTTTCACAAAAATCCTCTTCTCATACCGGTTTTGTATTGTTGTAATAAAGTGGTTAGTTTCTTCGACGTTTTGTCTACGGGATTTCATGTGACACTTATACAAGAACTCCTCTGCAATTAAACAAGAGATCACGTTGGATAGAATTTTTATTTGAATCGCGCGC